TACAAAACTTGACATAGTGGATATATAGATCATATGTGATATGTAATAAATCATATGTTGACAAGTTTATCATATGTGATCCAAAACATGAATTCAAAAATTAGAGTAAAAATGATGAAAAAGATTATGAGCTAATTGTGGATATGTGATAAAATTTTATCAAAGTATATCTAGAAAAAAAGTTGTATAAAACTTTATAAAATAATTATGAATTTATTAAATTAAAAAATAAATAAATCTAAAAGATATAATTAGATTTTTGAAGATTTATCCAATTCAAAATAATTATTATCCTAATTTCTAAAAAAAATTATGTTATTTTTTAATTAATGGATTATGTGGCTCATATTCCTTCTCTACTTCTCGCAAATTAGTTAGTTTCTCGTACACACACACACACACACACACACACATATATATATATAGGGAATGGTGCAAACGAGAATCCCCGTGATTTGCAAAAACACGAGAACAGTCTCTAAAACAAATATTGTGTTTTAGATCACATTTTAAGAGAAGTTTAAAGATTTTTCAAATTTAAATTAATAGTAAAAAGTTTTCAAAAATACTAAAGACGTGAAAGGCACGAGGAAGATAATTCCAATCATCGGGGAGTGATAATCATCGAATGTCTGTCGCATATTTATCGCAGTTGAGGGCAAGGTCGATAAATCGAAGAGGACAATTATCACATCTCAAGAAATCGATATCATGTGAGTTTGATTAACATCATTTGATCGATTAACACAGTTTGCTCAATTATTAACAACAATAGGGGTAAAATTGAGTAATAGACAATGTACATATCTATTACATTGTTTGCTTATCACATTCTAGTTAGGCCACATTCACAATGTAAATCGGTGATAACACAACTTCATCATATATTCAACACATTTAGAACATAAATCACATATTATAACACTTCGATTAGGGCTTGCTAATTGTCTATAATCGATTTAAGGTTTGATGAATGTCTATCACATACTTATCACAGTTGACGACAAGGTCAAGAAATCGAACAGGTCAATTATCACAACTCCAAAATGGATACCATATGTGTTTGATTAACACATTTTGTTCGATTATCACAGTTTGTTCAATTATGAACAACAATAGGGAAAAATCGAGTAACATACTATGTATATATTTATCAGGTTGTTTACTTATCAGATGATTATCACAGTCTAGTTAAGCCACATTCACAATGTGAATCAATGATAACCCATCGATTTTGATCGATTAACACAGTTTGTTTGATTGTCGACAACATAAGGTCAAAATCGAGTAATAGACTGTTGATCCTCTTTCTCAGTGATTTGATGATGATCTTTTTTATCTTACAAAGTGTACTATCTCTTTATTCAGCATCATCGATCATCATTGAGTCTGTTTAGTAATTGCTGAACAAGTATTGTAATTCTTAGAGAGACAAGTATTCTTCAGGAAGATAAAACTCACACCACAGAACCTTCAGTGATATCGAGGACAGCAAGACTCATATTCAAAACCCTCGATGGCTCTTATGAAGAGACAGGCAGAGGTTTAGTTAGGGCAGTAGAAGCTGGAGACATAGACAAACAAGTTCATGATCTAATGGGTTGGAGGCCCACAACTGTTCTCGCATTTTTGTAAAATAGAGGGTTTTAGACGGGAGTTCAAATGAGACCACTCTATTTTCGTGAGATCCGTGAGACCACTTTTTGATAAGTAGTAAATATTTGAGAAGTAAATAAATGATTCTATCCTTTCATATGATCAACATTTACGACTTTGACTGTGAAATATCAGATAATTCCTCACATGAGCATGCGTAAGGTAGAGAGGTAGTTTCATAATCTTTACAAACAACGACAAACGGGTTCATATGTAAACCCGTGTGATTCACATATGAACTATAATGTTAATTTGTTCACATATAAACTATTTAACCGACTCACATATGAACCAACGGGTTCATATGTGAATCACACAGGTTCATATGTGAATCACAAATGTTCATATGCGAATCAATTAATTAGTTCATATGTGAATCGGTTAAAATCATTCATATGTGAATTACACGAGTTCATATATGAATGTATAGTTCATATGTGAATCACATAGGTTCATATATGAACATGTTTGCCGTCTATTTGTAAAAATTGTAAAACTAGTCTCTATATTTTTTGGATAGCCGCAATTTTTGATCAGTCAAAGACGTAATTATTAACTAGTCAACGCATCAATTATTGACTAGTCAAATCCAATCTTGACCGTATAAAAGGCTATGATCACTTCTTTACTTTTCAAATATTTATCACTTCTCAAAATAAATTTTGGCTATATATATATATACATACATACATGTACGTGCATATTAAATAACATATACGACACATGCATAAATATATACACATACACATACATATATATATATATATATATATATATATATATACAGAGAAAGAGAGAGAGACTACAAAACAAAAGAGCTTCACCGAAATATCTTTCCGTCGGAAATTTCCGGTGGATTTGTAGCGAATCAATAGATCTCTAGCAAGTTAGTGACGAATTTTTCCACTAGTGATCATGGTCAATCCGCCAGTAAATCGGCGAGTAATCACGATCATCTCCCACATTGTAAATGTGACCAGATACCTCCTCATTTCAGATGCATTTCAAAATCGTAAGTCCAGGTTGGGCAAAGCAAATAATATATGGTACAATTAGAGCCAGGAAAGTGTGCCAACGAGGACGCTGGGATCCCAAATGGGGTGGATTGTAAGATTCCACATTGGTTGGGGAAGGAAATGAAAGTTGCCTTATAAGGGATTATACGGGAGTATGATACTTCTGCTTCCAAACGCGTTTTAAAACCGTGAGTTCAGGTGTGGACAGGACGATATCTAGTATGTTTATCCTGGGATGTTACACACGTTTTCTTCGTTTGTGAGATCCCCTGGTGATGGATTTTATGCGGATTACCAATAGATTTTTCCATAGATGAAACCTCTTTGTTTTGTAGTGAGAGGATCAAATGAGAAGGAGGTTAATTTGCGAGAAGGCGAGAACTTCCAATATTACATGTAATCACATATGTTACAATCATGTTGCGTTAACCCCCCTTAGGGTGCGCGACCTTTCCTGCGACCCTTGGTAACATTGACCAAGTCCCTTGCGTGCCTTTGGACATGTAGCACATGTGATTTTCCGAAACTTCTAGCTTCTTGCAAATTAACCTCCTTCTCGCAAATTGACCAAGTCACTCTTGTCCTTTTAGACATGTTGTAGTACATGTGATTTTCCTAAACTTCTCGCCTACCCTCTTGACCTTTCCTCCACACACATGCACGCACACAGACAGATGATATATGCAAATATATATGCCAGGTTCAAACGAGAAAGTGAGAAGTTTACGAGATCACACATGATTACATGTGATACGAACACATAATCATATATGATCAAACACATGTCGTATTGACGACATATAGCAAAGAATCTTCACCATGATCTTTGTTTGCCCTAACCAAGTCGTCCATGTCCCTTTTGGATGTGTTTAATCATATACGATCACGTGTAATAATGTGATTTTGGAATATTCTGCTTTCTTGCAACTTGACCGGCTTCCCGCTTGATCCTCTCTGTGTATATGTGTGTGCATATATATATATATATATATATATATATATGTATATGCATGCATCTAGGAACATATGTATAATACATTCTACGTGGATTTCAAAGCAATGGATAAACACTATTTCGACGACACAATTTCAATCTTAACCAAAACAATGACCATCTCCCCAATAACATTTTCATTAACTGAATGACATTTACCCTAAAACATGCTGGTAATTATAAAGCAAATGATCTTACAAAGACCAAAAGCAATCAGAAATAGAAATCAAGATTCATACATATGAACTCATCCGATTGGCAAAATTCAAAAACTTGGTAGTAGAATAATGAGAGACCCAAAAGTCACCCAACTTCATATCCATTCTTCTTCCTTAATTGGTGTGGGATCGATTGAAATGAATTTGTTATATGGACCCATCCTGTGTCATGAAAATGAAATCCTTGGAGGCCAGATATAATAAAATATCTAGTGCTCGATCACAATAAATATTCTCCTTTTGGAAATATTAATTTATAATGTGATTAGACAGCATGCAATTAATGGTCAAAGATCGAAGGACTTGTCAAGCTGTGATCGGTTCAGTCAGTTTGATATAAGACAAATTTTATGCTATTAGTTCCTTACTATTGGTGCCATTACAATATCACATTAATTTTTGTAAAGAACTGTGAACTGTGAATTATGAACTGTGCATGTGTGTGTGTAAATTGTATTTTATATTAAAGAATCTGCTTGTAGATGAATTTTCTATGCATTATTCATGATATAGTTCAATCTTTATTCTGAAAGAACCTATGATCAATAAACCAACCCTAGGGCCTAGGGGAAGATAAGACAGCTAAAGTATGGAAATTGTATATATGGAGCACAATTCCAATACTTCAATCATTGTCATTTGCAGAAAAGAATGCAACATGACCTAACTATACCAAAAAGATATGGTTCTACCTAGATTTGGACAATGACCCCTAAGTTTACTCATCAAAACTTTGTTACCACTTCGTTTGAAACGATATCGTTTAATGGACTTATCGAGGCATTGTTCGTGGCACACTGCCAACATCCCCATGATCTAAACAATTCAAAGAAGTATATATTCGATCTGTAGGAGTGATCAACAGTGTGTACAAAGAGGACGATGCAGTGTTATCTCAAACAAGATCTAGACCAAAATATTGATTTGAATGAATCCTAATAATGAAGGATTTGCAACAGGCACATTGAATTAAGTGCACAGAAGTTTGCAAAATGATTCCTTTTTTCATGGGTTGTGCAGTTGGTGCCAAACAAGTCCATCCTGCTTACAGCATTATAATTGCAATATAACTTATATATATAGTACATAACACTAAAATTTCATGAAGATGAAGAACATAAACAGTTTCGAAACGAAGTAAAACAAAGATTCAGTAATAATATTTCTCAATAAATTTGCATCATTTCACATTACAGACCTCTTGTCCTTTTAGGGCTTCCTTCTTTTTCTGAATGATATGGCTGCTGCAATAAGCAAATTAAGTCTATACCTGCTCCTGTTGATCCTCTTGCTCCTCCTGCTGCTGCTTAGGGCGTTTTCTCTTCTTCTCATAGCTGATCCCCCTCGACTTGGCCTGAAAGTCACGAACCTCCCTCAAAAACCGCCTCACTTCTGGCGCACCAAAAGGGTTTATCTGTGGGTTTCCTCCATGCTCATCATAAGCTGCCCGGAGCCGCCCAACAAGCGCGTCAAGACTGCCCCACGCCTGCCGGAAGGGACAAGGGCAGGCTGTAGGTGGGTTCGGTACTCCAAAGTAAGGGCACGTTTGGATGTGGATTTTAGTCTTCCCAAACTGATCAAGATAATGCATGAACTCAAGAACATGGCTAGGGTGAAAGTGAGGGAAAGAAAGTGGTGGCTTGTTGTTCCTTAGGTACTGCCCAAATGTGTCCCAGTCTCGACGCTTCTGGCTCTCATACCTGCTCGGAGAAGACGAAGACGATGAGCTATTTGTTGACTCCATAGATGTTTCATATCCCAGATCCATATGATCTGGTCATAATCGATCTGCTTGTTTCTTGTTACTTTCTTTCTTTTCCCTAGGGTTTTTCCTACTGTAGTAGCTTCTCTCAAGCCTACACAACTGAAAACACTCAAGAGACACTGGAGCTAGGTGTTGGTCTAAGAGATGCCAGATTAAGCCAAAAAGATGAGGTTAATCTGTAGACACAAGAGAATGAGTATGAATGCAGGAATCTGTGTTATGGGTATGTGTCAATGGTGAGAAAAGAGGGGCATTTTGCAAGAAAAGGAAAGGTATTGGTGTCTACTGGGTAGAGGAGAGCCATGAGTGGAAGTGACGGAGATCTATCTATAAGTGGAACTGATGCAAATGTATAAGTGGAGTAACAGTGAGGCTGATTATTACTCTGCCAAGTGCCAAGCCGTATCCTTGAATAAAATAAATAGTTTTTCAATTTATTTTGGAGGTACAGAAAATAAAGTGGTTTTTTTTCTTTGTTAATTAATTGAAATGCTTAAAATTTGAACGTTTTACGTGGATTTTATGCATCAATCTGACCAATCATAAATAATTGTGATTATTGGAAAACGAATAAAGCAACTACCGTACTATTTCTCCCTCTAATTAAATTATTTATTATATAACACAGTAGTTTCATAATTTTCTTGTCACTTACGATTTTGACTAAATTAATTAAGAGAAAAAATCAATATAATATATGATTTAACAAAATTTTTAATTATATGGGTATGAAAGTATATATTTATACTATATTATAAAACATTTGATAAATATTCTTGTAACACCCCCAAACCATACATTGCATGTAACATATATTTCATACAAAAAAAACACATAATATTATCTCATTCAGGTCATTTAGTACAAGAATCTAATATGACCAAATACAAGGTCCAAAAATTCTAATACATCACTGGTACTAATCAATCAAAACTATACATCAAAGCAGATCTTCAAGTAGAAATGTGTATRGGAAAATATTAAATTTTCCCCTTTCCCTTACTGTCCGTACCTCCTGCAACACATAGTTAAAATCACAAAACGAGGGTTAGACCGAAAGGTCTAGTGAGATACCCAATTTATGTCATTGTAGGGTGAAAATCACCAAAATCTTTATGGAAAACAACATTTCATATATATAACAAATATATGAATAAATAAGAATATAATACCAGATCTTTTCCACACTTCAAACAAAATGTTTAGCTATATAAATCTCATACCTCAGAACCAATCAGGTTTCACATAATGCCACTTTTAAACCTTTTCAAATCAAAACAAGGTTTAAATAGAGTTTTAGGCTAAACCTGATGTTTTCTCCTCAATAACATCCAGACTATGATTTCCAATAAGAACCTTGATCCTAAATCTTTAAATCACAAAGAAATAAAGATTCCAGACCACGATAGTCTTAAGGGATATAATAGAAAGAGTTATATCATACAATACACATGCAAATGTCACCCTTATATCCAAATGTACACCTCTCCTTGATATGCCACTCTTATCCCATGGTACACCTCTCCTTGATATGTCACCCTTATCCCATAGTACACCTCTCCTTGATATGCCACCCTTATTTCCTCATCAAAACTTTTCATAAAACAATTCCAAACAGACCGCAGCCAATGGAATTATTATTTATTAATCCAAAATCATTTATATCAAATCTTCATTTTATGATAAAATCACAATTTCACAAGGCACAACTCAAATCCGGTCACCTTAGCTTAGCCGGATTTCATCTCCGGTCAACAATCTGGATAACACATTGCATAAGATTTGTCCGGTTAACACTAAGAATTAAATCAACCTTTGTTCGGATAACAAGTCCGGACAACACACCGCATAAAGCTTGATCGATTTATCACTTGGAATCAAAATCAACATCTTTGTCCGGATATCAAGTCCGGACAATAACTTGCTCAATACTTGACCGATTAAAAATAATCCAGCCACCATTTGGTCGTATTCCTACTTCTCAGTTCAAAAAGATAACTATTCTTACCAATCATAACCCGCTCAACGTTTGATCGGTTTAAAACAATCCGGACAATACATCGTTTAACCTTTGTCCGATTTAAAAYAATCCGGACAATACATCGTTTAACCTTTGTCCGATTTAAAACAATCCGGACAAGCCTTGTCCGGTTTAATACCCGGATAAAACACTTGAGCAAAAGACTGATTTCTTTCCAAAAATAAATAAGATTCATACAAACCAGTAATAATTTTATGCAAAAGAGTTTAGAAATTAATCACCTTAACAAGCTTTTGAAATCAAACACTTGAAATCAACTTGAATCTCTAGACAAGATATCCGGTCAATTTCTCTTCTCTTTTAAATCGCACAACAAGAAACTTAAAAGCAAGAAGAGAAAATATGGAGGCTCAATCTCCCTTTTATACTTTCCAAAAATTGGAAAGGCGGCTAACACAACCCTTTTTTCTCACAAAAACCCTTATCATGCATGCATACATCTTGCACATATATATATATATATATATATATATATATATANATATATATATATATATATATATACACCATGCATACATATAAATACATAACATATGTATTTCATATTATGCGCATTTTCACATCCCAGCATGATCAAACATAACAATTTATCATGCTATCACGTAATCATTTAAATCAGATAATCACATATTAAATACCTTGGGTGATAACTAGGATCAAGTTATCACATTATCCACCCCTTAAAAGAATTCTGTCCCGGAATTCCTTTAATCAAAAAGCCATGGGTATTATGATTTCATCTTTGATTCCAATTCCCATGTTGTTTCTGGTCCTTTGTGAAACTTCCACTGAATTTTAACCAGATTTATTTCTTTGTTTCTCAACACCCTGATCTTTCTGTCGATTACGACTTCCGGTGTTTCCATAAAATTCAGCTTACTGTCTAATTGAATCTCTGGTAATGGTATAGCTAAATTCGGATCAGCCAAACATTTCCATAAATTTGACACATGGAAAGTGTTGTGAATTAGACTCAGCTCTTCTGGCAGCTCTAACTGATATGCTACTGGCCCAATTCGBTTACATATTCTGAACGGCCCCACATACCTTGGACTGAGCTTTCCTTTCTTTCCAAATCTGACAACACCCTTCCATGGTGAAACTTTTAACATCACAAAATCACTTATACCAAACTCAATTGGTTTTCGACGATTATCTGCATAACTTTTCTGGCGATCTTGTGCTATTTTGATTCTTTCGCGGATTTGTTCAATCCTTTTAGAAGTTTCTTGAACAATTTCATGACCCGTTAGCTGTTTTTCACCCACTTCATTCCAACATAACGGCGTTCGGCATTTGCGTCCATACAACACTTCAAACGGTGCCGCTTGGATACTGGAATGGTAACTATTATTATACACAAACTCTATTAATGGCAAGTGATCTTCCCACGATCCCCCTAAATCAATAATACAACTTCTCAACATATCTTCGAAAGTCTGAATAGTTCTTTCACTTTGCCCATCAGTCTGCGGATGATAAGTTGTACTTAATCAGATTTCAGACCCCAAAGCTTTCTGTAATCCTCCCCAGAACTTTGAAGTAAACCGACTATCTCTATGAGAGATAATAGACAAGGGAACACCGTGTCTGGTAACAATTTCTTTGATGTAAATCTGCGCTAGCTTTTCTAAAGAATATTTCTCTCTCATTGGTAGAAAATACGCAGATTTAGATAAACGATCAACAATTACCCAAATCGCGTCATACCCCTTTGGAGTTCGAGGTAATTTCATAACAAAATCCATGGTAATGTGATCCCATTTCCATACAGGTATTTCTAAGGATTGAAGACTTCCGTACGGCTTCTGATGTTCAATCTTTACCCGTAAACATGTCAGACACTGTTCCACATACCGAGCTAT